TAGGTGGCCTATCGAACGCATCCTCTCCAGCAACTCATCATACTGTTGTTGTGTTCGGGGCATTTGGTGATTGAGTGGCTGTGGAAGTTGCGTGGCTCGCTGGTTGCCGACGCCTAAGGCGCGGAACAAGATCGCGGTTAGTAGTTGGAAGTTGGGAAGGTCAAATCCCACCGACTGTGCCTCAAGACGGGCCATTTCGAATCGGGTAAGGGTGACATCGATTCGTTCCCCGTGAGGCACGTGGAAGTCGATGAGTTGTGTGCCGGAAGTGAGCTGGCGCTCATCTTCCAGGCGTTCGAACTTCATGCTTAAGAGGAACATCATGTAGGTCACTGGGTCGGTGTGGACCCCATCGATGTCAGCACCATAATTTATGATGTCAGGCGGTACCCTCATGGCGAGTGTCCTCGCTAGGCCGCCTAGGCCGCGTTGTATGGCGGCCGCTTGGGCCTGTGGCGTCATGCGTCCGCTTGTGACGTTGAGCCATGCGTTGACCTCATAGACGTACTCGCGGAAAGGTACGTTGCCTTGAGGGTCCCAATATGGGCCATGTGTTTGCCCATCGGTGCTGTTGTCTCCACGACGCATATGTCCGATTGCTGCCCCCAGCGTGAACCATATGATAGCGAAGATAACCAGCCCAAGGCTGTGTAGATAAGGGCGGTTATTAGGCGCGTTGCCGCGCTGGGGTAGCGCCTTGTCGAGTCTTCGAGGCGCTCTATCTGGCGGATCTCTCCGCCCATGCTTCAGGTATTGCGCTTTTGGCTCGTTGCCGAGCGGTTGGTGGTAACGCAATGATGAAGCGTATATGGTACCAATGTCGTTGTCTAGACGTCGTACCTCTCGTGTCGCTTCTTGCTCTTGGATAGATCCTCGTAAACGTACTGGGAGTGGTAGCGCAGGGTGGTAGGTGGTCACGAAGATCGCGCCGAAGAGTATGAGGCTAAGAAGAGCAAGAGCTGACCACACGAGAGTGCGGCCAGCTCCGCTACCAAGTCGAAAGTGAGCCTGGTAACTCAAATAGCATCCGATTCCGTAGACATCGGATGGCAAATAGCGTCCGGTATCGTACTGACGTGGTTCAGTAAGAGGAATGGACGGATAAGATAGGATAAGATCGATGTATCGGTCTTTCCAGCACATAGCGAACACTCGCGGTGTCCGGGCAAATAGGGCGCGCGTGCCTTGAGCCAAAGGCAACGGCGCGCAAGCTATGCTCCCGATACTATAACATCTCCCAAAGAGCTACCCTTCAAGTCTTGCCTCCCCGAAGACTGGCGGCCCGCTCGCTTGTCGGTGGCGGGCCCCTCGGAAGTGCCAGTTTTTCGCTTCGCGCTGCCTCGCTCGACCGTGCGACGAGACTTGACAAGGCTGGCGCTGGAGGTTGACCGGTGCCCAGGACTGCGAGGGCTGCCGGCGTTGGCGCCCGGGCGCGAGACGATCTCGGGGGCGCTCCCTTTCTCGGACTCGGCCCCCTGGCGGGGAGCGCCGTCGGCGGAGGTGTCTCCCGCGCAGGTGGTCGCGTCGGCGCCCCGCGGGTCCCAGAGCGTCGGCTTGCAAGTTCGCCCCCGCTGCTCCTGCCCCGCAGTGGCCTCCTCTGAAGGGGAACTGGGACACACAAATAAACAGACACAAATAACCAGATTCCCCATGCTTCCCCCTATTTTCTGGGTTTCTGTCTTCCCCCCCCCACTTCCCAGATTTTCCCATTTTCCTATATTTTCTCGGGAATCGAGGATTCATTGTGTCTGTGTGTTTTTTCCTCCCCTGACCCTCATCCGATGGGGCCTTGGCCTGGCTGCACTTCGATCCGGGGGCGGGGTCCCCGGCGGGGCGGGCGGTGGGAGGTGGCCGGCTGTGCAGCTCGAGGCCGCGGGCGGAGAGCTGCTCGCCTGGCTCTGCGGATCTATGTCGCAGGGCTCAGTGTTGCTGCCATGGTGCATGACGGGCTGCAGACCCTGTAGCACATGCGCTGCTGCTGCGCAGGCGAACGAGGTCGCCCAGGCGTGGTGGCTTGCTGCCTCCCCCAACTTCTCGCAAACAAAACAACCGGGGCCCGTGAAGTCTGGGGCCCAATCCTTGGCGGGAGCCCAAGGGAATTCGAAGGATCGCATAAGGCTGCCGAGCCGGCGGAAGCGAACGAGGTTGGGCCAAGTGAGCTCCGCGCTGGACAATCCACAACACAGTTCTATGAGTGGGCATCCCCGAGAGTGCACAACACTGGGCGTGGGCCTATCCAGGCTGGAGCTCGCGCGGGCTGGCACAACGACGGCGCTTGCACTCCTTCGTGCAAGACGCGCGCCTTGGGGTGCCCTCTGGCTGGAGGCCGCTCGCCTCCGTCGTTGGTGTGGCTCGCGGACTGGGCCTCCTTGCAATCAGGCCTCCCTTGCGGGGCTGCCAAACGAGACGGCTTGGCAAGATTGTGAAGTAGACTCGCGCGCTATCCCCAGCGCGCGTGCGCCGCCCAGCTGCCCGCACCAAATGGGCCGATGCGTGTCTCGACTACGCCGCCGCAGTCACCGCTTCAGGCGGCGAGGTGCCCCGAAGCCTTACTTTCCATGCAGGCAGCGCTGCCATATATTGTGGTACTGGAGCGGGTGCGTGGGCGGTCCGCTGGCATTCTCGTGCCGTCCTCGGTGGCGGCGTTGGTTGGTGGCGCCACGCATAGTGGATGCTCAGTGCCGCATCTGCCTCTGCCGCCCTGGTTCTCGCCGCCGTCCTGAAGTGTTTCCGCGGCCTGCTAGGCAGCGAACTCAGCAGCCGAGATGCGGGCGGCCTCACCTCTGAGCGCGACCTGGCAGCTTCTGCTGCTGCTGCCGCTGCTGCTGCTGTGCTGAGGCCGCGGGGTCGTCGGCGCCCTTGCGCTTCTGCTTGATCCGCTCCTCGTGATGCGTCCGCACGGTCTGGACGCCAGTGAGGGGCGCCTCTGCCTGGCTGGCTGGGTGTCGACCTGCTTGCGCCGAACTCCTCGAGCCCAACTTTGACTGCGTCCGACTCTGCTTTTCGCCTTCGTCGAACGCCAGCTGGTCGGTGGACTCGACCAGCTTGGCGTCCCAGGCCCCAAGCGACAGAGAAGGCTGGGCCGCTGCCGCCGTCGCCTGTGGGGGCGGCCTATTGCCCGATGCCCTCCGCCTTGGCCCTTGGCGAACGCCTCCGTTGCATTCCGCTTGGTTGCCTCCGCCCTGTCACAGCCAGTGCCGCGTCGGCCGTGGCGAGGCTCTTCTTGAACTTCATCATGTTGAAGGCGAGCTGAGTGCGCCTGTGGACGGCGGCACGCCATGCCCCATCCGCCTCTTTCGTGGCCTCGTGGCCGAGGCGGTGGCCCGACGTTCCCGCGCGGCGGCGATCCTGCCGGTCTGCGCCCGGAGGAACCCCGCAGGTGGTCAGTGGGGGAGCTCTTCTCCTCTGAGCCCGCACCGCCCTGGCCAGCCTCTGCCAGCTCGATGATCTCGCCCTGGCCGCACCTGACCGCGCGCGAGGCGGCAGAGCGCTCTCGGTGGAGCCTGGCCCGGCGGCTGCAGCTCAAGGTGCGAGGCGCGGCCGGAGTGATACATGGCCCGGCGGGAGGGGAGGGGAGGGAGGGGGCATGGAGAAAGGGAAAGGGGGGGGGGAAAGGCTCCACATATCAGTTTTGTTTTTTTTTTTTTTTTTTTTTTTTTTTTTTTTTTTTTTTTTTTTTTTTTTTTTTTTTTTTTTTTATTCTCTCCTCCTTCTTCCAACACGTGGCCCCGAACCGTCTTCCCTAGTGCCAATGTTGCCTCCTGCGCCACTTTTTGGCTGCCCTGGGGCCCGGCGAAGGCCCTTCGAGGCCGAAGGCGACGACACAACTCCGCATCAGTTCTCCCCTGCGCAGGAGGTCTGGGGAGGAACAGGAGGTGTGGGGAGGAAGCGGGGAGCGGGAATGCTGACGTTCCAGGTGTGCGTGCCCTGCGGCCCGCCCAAGAGAGGAACGGTAAGGGAGCTTGGGGAGGGAGAGGGGGGGAGGGAGGGGGGGGAGGCACAGAGAGAGGGGAGGGACAGGGGAGGGAGGGGGAGGGGAGGGAGAGCGGAGAGGGGAGAAGGACAAGCTAGGTGCGCTCGCGTCCTATCTGACGTCCTACCCCTCCCTCCCATCGCTTACCATGGCATGGCGTAGATATCCTCTCTATTCGCACAGTCAGATGTCGAGCAAGGCATGATCGCGAGAGGGTGCGCAGAGCATGGTAGAGCAAGGCATGGCATGACGTAGAAGAGCACGGCAAAGCGTAGCATGCCATAGCATGGCGTGGCATTGCGCAAGGAAGCGTTGCATCGCAAAGCGTTGCAACATAAAATATGGCATCGCACAGCGGCGCAGAACACAACACCGCACACCATGTCATGGCATGGCGCCGGGTTCCTGGGAGGGTAAGTGGAACGTCTTCGAGAGGTCTGGGCCGGTCTGGAATCGCGGCTCCATGTCTAGCTCACTGGGCTCCCCGACTCCACACAAGGCGGGGCTGATGGAGAGCACCCGCTGGCTCTGCTTTCAACATCGCCTTCTCCAAGCAGAAACGGGGCTCCCGCTTGATGATTCCTGAAAACGACGACGCCCCAAAGTGTGTGCGGGGGCTTCTGCGGCCGAAAAAGATCAACGAATCGACACCGAATGTGTAATTATTCCCGATGTTTTTTTCCTGGAATTTTCTAAATTTTGGGGCTTACTTGGGAGGACCGAAAACGCCCGCCGTGCAGCGGGAGCACGATCTGGAACAACCAGAGGCGTAGAAAGGGGGCTAGCGCTTCAGCGGGAGCAACAAAGCGAAAACCCAACTCCTGGGAATCCCGTGTAAAAAAACGATACGCGCAGGAAGGCTGGACGTCTTCTGGACGTCATCCGGGGAGAGAGGACCGTGGTATTCATATGGTGTAGATGTTGAATGAGGGGAAAGGGGGGGGAGGAAGCGGAGCGGGAAGGGAGGGGAAGGAAGAGAAAGGGGAAGAGTAGGGATGGAAAGGAGCTTGGCCCCAGCCCTCGCTGCCCACTCCGGGCGCGCCGACCACGACGATCTTGAAGACCGAGCGCGGCGGCGCCCAGACAGCGGCTGGAGCTGCGGGGTCTGGCAACTCGGGCATTCGCCTGGGGGGGCCATCCGCCGACCCTGTCGGCATGTGTGGCGTGTCTGTCCGGCCCCGTCGACGGGGAGCCTTCTTTCTTCCCCTCCTTCCCATCCTTTTCTCCCCCCGTCGGGGGAGAGAAAGAGAGAGAGAGAGAGAGAGAGAGAGCGCCCGTCCTCGCTTCGGGAACGGGTTCGCAGCTTGAGGGGATTCCATCCACGTCCTCATTACGTCAAAGGGAAGCCCCTTCCCTTTGTCCCTTCCCCGGCGGGGGGGGGGCCCGGGGGGGTGTCAGATTCGCATCGACTCTGGGGGTCCTCCTCTCCCACGCCGGTCCTTCTCCGGCGCGCCGGTCCTCCTCGGGCCCTCCTCCCCAGGTGGGGAGGAGTCCCAGGGGGGGGGGGAGGGGAGTCAGGTACGCATCCGTCCCCAGGGGTCCTCCTCCCCCTCCCCTCCCCTCTCCCACGCCGGTCCTCCTCCACTGGTCTTCCTCCCCGGGGGGGGTCCCAGGGGGGAGTCCTTTTCCTCCTCCTTCTCCTCCTTCTCTCCTCCTCATCTCCGCCTCCTCCTCCTTCTCCTCCTCCTCCCCCTCCTGGTCGTCGTCGATGTCTTTCAGGGTCGGCGGCACCGGCCGGCAGGCCTTCACAATATTCGCAGCGGCGGAGAGGAGGACGAGGAGCAGGAGGAGGAGGAGGAAAAAGAGGAGGAGGAGGACTCATGGACCGCTGCTGGGTCCTCCCGTGTCGTCCCCGTCCTCGTTCTCCCTTCGCCCTGGGGTGCCCCCCCCCCCCCCTTCTGGCTGCGATGCCGGCCCCGTGGTATAGCACTCGCCCCCCGCCAGCGATGGTCTGCTGCTGGTTAGCGGCGCGCACAAGGGGGTGGGGGGAGGGGGGATGGCTTCTTAGAAGCAGGCTGCTTCTTAGAAGGCGCCGGCCTTACATCGATAGATGAGGCCCGCGCCTTCTGAGAAGCAGGGGTGCTTCTAAGAAGCCCTCCCCCCTCCCCCCACCCCCCTCTGCGCGTGGCTAAGCTGGGACTCCAACTTCAGGGGGGGCGGGAGACGGGGGAGAGAAGACACATCGGTATAGAGGGGGGGAGGTGGAGGGAGGCGGAACGCAGGGGCGGCAGGGGAAGGGGGAGGAGGAGGAGGAGGAGGAGGAGGAGGAGGAGGAGGAGGAGGAGGAGGAGGAGGAGGAGGAGGAGGAAAAGGGAGGAGGAGGAGGAGGAGGAGGAGGAGGAGGAAGAGGAGGAGGAGGAGGAGAGAGGAGGAGGAGGAGGAGGAGGAGGAGGAGGAGGAGGAGGAGGAGGAGGGGCACTCGCCAGACGAGCATCACCGACCCACCGCGGACTTGCGGCACCCGCAAGGGTGCCGACGGGGCGCCCTCTCGCCCCGGCCTGGCCCCGGGGCCCCGCCCGCAGGAGAGGCGAGCCGAGGCGGGCCTCGGCTCCACCCCGGGGGGCCGGGGCCCGTGCCTCGCCACCGCTCGGACGTCCATTCCCTGTGCTTTTCTCGGTTTCGTGCGTTTTTTTTTTTTTTTTTTTTTTTTTTTTTTTTTTTTTTTTTTTTTTTTTTTTTTTTGTCTTGTCAAATGATCAAGGATGCTTCTCGAATGCTTCTCGATGGTCCCCAGCGAGGAAGAATGCACACGTCCGAGCGATGCCAAGGCAGTGCTCGGGCCCCACCTGCACCCCGCACACCCACCGCCACAGACAGCCCCCCGCCCCCGCTCCCCTCTCCGCATCAGGAGGTGCATCACCGACGACCGTCAATCTCATCTCGGGGGCGTGCAAGCATGGATTAGCGATCCATGAATTTGGCGCGCGGTCGCCTAATCCATGGATCGGGGGAGGTGCCCTCCCCAGAATGCGGCCGGTGTCGCCTCGCTCGGCGGCTCAAATCCGCGACTCTCCATGGAAACGGGACCCGTCGCTGACCCACGCCCCCTTAGTCCATGTTTGAGGGAGCGTGATCCACCGCCGCTTCACTGTGGAAAATTCCCCCCTCTCTTCCTCCGGAACCAAGGGGTCCCCCCCTCCCGCCGTAAATCACTACCCTCCCCTGCTGGACCCCCCCCCCTTCCCCACCCTTCCCCCAAGCAAAACCCCCCCTCTCCCCTAACCCTCCCCCCCGCCCCCTCCTGAAAACCGGTTCGAACCCCTCCCCCCCCCCTCCAGAAAGCTGGGGGGGGTCACTACCGGTTCGAACCCCCCCTCCCTCCTCCAGAAAACTGCGGGGGGGGGTCACTACCAATTCGGCCCCCCCCCCCACCCACTCACCGCCGGCACACGACTCCCGGATCCCTACCACCGTCCGCACCACATCCCCCACTGCTGTCCCCAGCACCACTGTCCTCACCACCACTGTCCCCGCTGGTCCCACCACCGTCCCCACCAGTGCCCCCACCACTGTCACACTGTCCCCACTGTCCCCACCACTGTTCCCACCACGGTCCCACTCTCCGCACTTCCCCCACGGTCCCAACCACTGCCCCTCTGTCCCCGCCGCTGTCCCACTGAGCTGTCCCACTGTCCCCACTGTCCCCACCCCTGTCCCCACTGCACCTCCGTCCCATTGTCCCACCACCGTCCTCGCCACCGCCCTCACCACTGTCCCCACCACTGTCCCACTGTCCCCACCACATTCCCACTGTCCCCACACCACTGTCCCCACCACCACCGTCCCCACCACTGTCCCACAGATCCCACCACTGTCCCACTGTCCCCACTGCTCCCACCATTGTCCCCGCTGTCCCCACCAGTGCCCCCGCCAATGTCTCACTGTCCCCCCTCTCCCCACCATTGTCCCACCATTGTCCCACCACGGTCCCGCTCTCCCTACTTTCCCCACTGTACCCACCACTGTCCCCACTGTCCCCGCCGCTGTCCCACTGTGCTGTCCCACTGTCCCCACTGTCCCCACCACTTTCCCCACTGTACTACTGTCCCACCACCGTCCTCACCACCGCCTTCACCACTGTCCCCACCACTGTCCCACTGTCCCCACCACTGTCCCGCTGTCCCCACACCACTGTCCCCACCGCCACCGTCCCCACCACTGTCCGCACCACTGTCCCACTGTCCCCGCAGCACTGTCCCCACCACCACCGTTCCCACCACTGTCCCAATATCCCCACCACTGTCCAACTGTCCCGAAGAGCGGGAATCGTTTGTCGGCGGCGAGGGGGGGGGGCTTCGAACTGGTAGTGACCCCCCCCCCCCGGGTTTCGAGGGGGGGGGTTCGAACTGGTAAAGACCCCCCCCCCCTTTTCATGATGGACCAGGGGGGGGGAGGGGTTCGAACCGGTAGTGACCCCCCCCCGGTTTTCGAGGGTAGGGTGGGGGGGACGGGTTGGGAACCCTCAGTGACCCCCCCTCCGGTTTTCCGCCAGCAGCGGTAGAACATGCTCTTTCCCATGTTTGCGATCGCCTGATCATCCCTCTCGCTTACCTCTTGGTTTTTGTCGTTCCCTCCCCCAGCACTGGCTCGGAGGAGGGATATCGAGGGCACCAGGGCGATCGCTCGACGCCGTCCGCCAGTCGTAGAGCTCGAAGGAGGAGGAGGAGGAGGAGGAGGAGGAGGAGGAGGAGGAGGAGGACGAGGAGGAGGAGGAGGAGGAGGAGAACGAGCAGAACCCGCTGTAGCTGATAGGGCGCCCAAGCCCAGGGAGATGTCCCCCATTTCTGGTAGGCTGATCTCCTCGCAGGGAATGGCCACCTGATCATGCCCTTTACGGGCCATTGCCATGTACTTGGCATGACTTGTGTGGGGAATCCTTTTCGGCTCCACCCTCGCCCAGGGTAGTGCTGCGGACGTGGAGGAGGAAGGAAGGTCGGGACTTCACGGGCGAAGGACGGTATAACATCAACTTTTCCGCTGCCTGTCCCAGGGCGGCTGGCAAGCTTACACCCTTACGGTGGCGCGTCAAGGTAGAAACTTTCCAGCCGCCCTGGGGCAGCGCCCCTGGCAACGGAACAAAAATGATTTTGTACCGTTCTTCGCCTGGGAAGGAAGGCCGGCCGACGGCCGCAGCCCCGGAGCCTCAGCACACCCCGGGCCCGAGGCCGAGGACGAGCCGGACGGGTGGGCACGGGTGCTCGACAGTGGGCACGGGTGCTGACGCGGATGAGGGGTCGGCTTTCCTGGGGCGGGCTCCAGAGCGCACGGGTGGCCTGCGACGGTGTCGTCGCCGCATCCAGCACGACAGAGGGAAGCCCCGCCCGCAGTCGTGTGCGAGCCGCGTGCAGTGAAGACGCTGGAGTGGGCCGCTCCTCGGAGCTGGGTCGGGGACCTGCTCGTGACCGAGGCTCGCCGTGGCCAGGAAAGCCCCTTCGCTCCTGAGTCAGCGTGCCTCATCTCATGGTAGCACGATGCCTGTACATTCATCGTGCCATGAAGGCAGCACGATGGCTGTGGCGTCATGGTGGTCCTGATTTCAACGTCTTGGCCGCACGACCCCCCCGCCCCCGTTGTCCCACGAGTTCCCTTGCGCGGCGCGTGAAGGCAGGCCGCGCTGGCGCTGGCGAGGATGGTGCATTGCCATCAGGCCGTGCAAAAGCGGATCGGGGACGCTCCGGGACCTCCTCCTCTCCTCCTCCTCCTCCTCCTCCTCCTCCTCCTCCTCCTCCTCGTCCTCCTCCTCCTCCTCCTCCTCCTCCTCCTCCTCCTCCTCCTCCTCCTCCTCCTCCTCCCCCTCCTCCTCCATGCGCTGTCCCCCTCCGGGGTCATCGAACTCCGCGCCCCAATCCGCGTCCTCATCCTCGTCCTCGTCCCCCGCGGCCTCCACCGCCACGGGGGGGAGCGGCAGCAACACGGAGTGGGGTGGGAAGCTTGGCCAGGGCGGGCCGCTGTTGGGCAGGCGAGGCTGTGTCTCAAGCAGAGAACACCCGCGGCGACACCGACAACGAATCCTGTCCAAAATGGGCAAGAACTGCTGTTGGGCATCGTACCTAGTCTGTGCGCATCGAGTGATACATTCGAGCCATCATGTGAAGATGGGTCTGAATTACGTTTTGGCACGTACACAATAATTTTATCACAGGCGGGAGAGACGGGTTTGCAGCACCAGCGCTTCTCCATCTCCGCAGCTCTTTGCCTCAAGAGTCCCACAGAGGGCCGTGCTGATAGCGCGCATTCTGCACTGTGCACCCGTGGAGTCTAGGAAATTATCCCAGTGCGACCCTACCTAAGAGTTGGAGCCTCTAGGAAAGCAACATTAGTAGGAGCGGTAAACGCCGTCCTCCTCCTTCTCCTTATCGTCGTAGTTGTAGCACACGCACGTACGTGTGTATATATATATATATGTGTATGTATGTGTATGTATATATATATATATATATGTAGCAGCAGCAATAGTGGATGCTGTGCTGCGCTATGCTATGCTATGCTATGCTCAGCTCTGCTAAGCTATGCTATGCTATGCTGCGCAATGCTATGCTGGGCTAGGCTAGACTAGGCTAGGCTCTGCTATGCTGCGCTACGCTATGCTGCGCTATGCTATGCTATGCTTTTGCTTTGCCTTCGCTTTTGCCTTCACTTTTGCCTTTGCTTGGCACCCAAGGAGCGCAACTGGGGGAACCGCGCGTTTGCTTTTATCTTTGCTGTTGCTTTTGCTTGGCTCCCAGGGGACTGGGGGAGCCGCCCGGGGCGGTTTGCACTGCCCGGCTCCTTTAAGCCAAGCGAGTAAGAACCCTTCTAGGCAGAGCCTAGGTAGGGAAACAAATCACTGCTTCTGGGCATCGTGCCCACTCTTGTCGTACCTGTTTTTGATCGTGCCGACTGGATGTCTGGGCCCTCATATAAGAAGAAGAAACGGTATAAACACAAACTTTGGCGCTCCGTGCGGATTTCTTGGACCTGCGCTGAACCCCCCTCCCTGGCGTGCGGAGCGCGCCAGGGGCGGCGACGGAGGCGGCGCCGGGGGGGGGGGGAACCAGCGCGGATCCAAGAAATAGGGGCGGAGCGCCTAACGTTATGTTCATGCCGTTTAGTCTTTTTCTATGAGGGCCCAAATCTCCAGTCGGCACGATCGAAACGGGTGCCGTATTTATGCTTATGCTTTTCTGCACGCGTGCACAGCAAGGGCTCCCAGCTTCGCGCTTCGCGCTGCGCGAATACCTTCGCGCTCTCGCGCCGCCTCCCAGGGGAGCAGAGGAGGCTGAGGAGGAATCGGAGCCGAACCGCGAAGCGCGCGAATTCACTCGGCGCCCTCGAGGGCGCCCTCCTCCTCCTCCTCCCCCTCCTCCTCCTCCTCCTCCTTCTCCTCCTCCCCCTCCTCCTCCTTGCGCAGTGCCCTCAACCTTTCGCCGCCGCGCTCTCCGCTGCCTGGCGGCGCCGGGGCGGCGGCGGGGCCCCCGGCGCGGCGCGGCGGCGCGGCGCCCCGGGCGGTCCCGAGGCCGGCGGGCTCGGGCGAGGCCGGCTG